ATAAACATTTGAGTGCAGGTGTCTTTTTGATGAAATGACTTATTTTCCCTTTGGGTAGATACCCAGTAGTAGGATTGCTGGGCCAATGGTGGGCCTACTTTTATTTCTTTGAGGAATTTCCATACTGTTTTCCATAGAGGTTGTACTAATTTATATTCCTACCACCAGGGTTTGAGTGGTCCCTTTTCATTGTATCAACAACAACATCTGTTGTGTTTTGACTTTTTAATAATGGCCATTCTGATAGGGGTAAGGTGATGATTAGTGATGCTGAACAAGCATTTTTTCATATGTTTGTTGGCCATTTGTCTATCTTCTTTTGGGAAAAATCTGTTCATGTCTTTTGCTAACTTTTTGATGAGGTTATTTGTTTTCGTTCTTGCTGATTTGTTTTGAGTTCTTTGTAGATTCTGGTTGTTAGTCCTTTGTCAGATGTATAGTTTGTGAATATTTTCTCCCATTCTGTAGATTGTTTACTCTGTTGATTATTTCCTTTGCTGTGCAGAACTTTTTAGTTTAAGTCCCATTTATTTATTTTGTTTTCCTCTTCCTCCTCTTCCTCTTTCTCCTCTTCCTTCTCCTTCTCCTCTTACTCCTCTTCCTGCTTCTCCCCTCTCCCTCCCCACTATACAATAATGTTGCTTATTTTGGTGAATAATGTTTTATTGGAACACAGCCACACTCGTTCATTTATGTATTTATTGCCTGTATGGCTACTTCATGCTATAACAGTTGAGGTGAATAGTTGTGACAAAGCAATGACCTGCCAAGCATATAAAATATTTACTATTTAGCCCTTTATAGAAACAGTTTGCTGACTCCTGACTTAAGCCTGAGAACCTGACACTGTTTCCCTAGTGATAAAATAAATGCATATTAAATTTAAAACCTTTCTATAAAATATATACTGTTTCATATAATAATACTGCTCATTAAAAGTAACTTACTGCATAAACAGTTTTGATAGTAATAACGTTTATGAAAATATAACCATTAAAAATTGTCATTGTTATTTCTTGCCATGGTGTTATTTTTTTTTTAAATCAATTTCCATTCCATGTGCTATATGTCTTATGGTCACTCTAAAACTTATGTTATCAACAACAATCTTTTCTCAAACTTGACTAATGTTTGAACATGATTTAAATGAACACAATTCTCAAGAAACCCTACTGCTAACTACTTTATTTTTCTTATGTAACTTAATTTATATAAGCCTAAATCTAAGTAAAAAGTCTTATGGTTATAGTTCTCACACAAGCATAAATCTAAAATAATATAAAAATCAAACATAGCAAAATTATAAATCCAATACTTTTTAAGTTTGTAATATTAATATAAAAGAACAAATGTTATTTTGTTTAAACTAAATCAGTGCTCACAACAGGAATTTAATAATGACTGATTCATTGTCAATTCTTTTGAGTTTGACTTAGTTGTTCTTTCCATTCTGTGTTTTGTTTGCAAATTAGTTCATAATTACTCATGTTTTATTCGAACTACTGTGAAATCTTTATTCATATATTTTGCCAACACTGCATACTAAGTCTTGCTTTCAAGTACTATTTGGCACCAACTTGTTTGAAAACAGAAACACAATCACACTTATAAGATGGTAATCTAGATGATCCAGAGTAGTTACTTTACCTTTTTTTTTAGGTAAGTACTGAAATCAAAATTAAAATGTTAAAAATTCTAGAGACTATGTGTATCCCAGTAGACCCCAAACTCATCTAAATACAATCCTCTTATATTGTGTATATGTACATTAGTAAACACACACACGCGCGCGTGCACGCGCTCTCTCTCTTCTTCTTTCGTATAAAAAAACCCCGTAATGAAAACTGAATAGATTCCTTGACTCAGTATACTAATGCTTACTATTGAAATTACTTTTAAACACTAGAGTTATTCTTATTATACTTGAACTATTGATAGCTTTACTTCATTAGAAATAAGTAAAGTGTAAACAATAAATCTGTCTGATTCACTTCGTCTTTGTGTACTTTTGAAGAAATTTTCAAACATTTACATATGAAATTGTTCTCTCTTTTAGATATGTTCTGCAAATGTGTGGGCTTGTCTGTCACATGCCCTACCCTCTTTACTGCCAGCCTGCAGTTCCTTTCGATTCTCTTGACTGAAGAAGCAAAAAGGCGTCTTCAGGATAAAGACAAAACCAGTTTATGCCACAGTCCAACAATGGCGTCACTTCTTGATAAAGCTCAGGAAAATCAGAAATCTCTAGAACGACTTAATGAAGAAATTCTTCAGGTATGTGAGTTCTTGGTTTTTTAAAACTTTGTTTATTTAGTGTTTACATGAATTGACTTTCAGTCTTGGTATTGTTAAAACCTTTTTCGGTCATTTGAGTTATAAAAAATTAATGCTCATTATGACTGTTTAAATAATACAGAAGTATAACAGTTAAATTACCTACCATCTCCTGTCCAGTCTCAGCCCTCTGATGCTGAACAGTTTCTTTAATGAATATGATGTAAAAATTTGAAAGGAAATGTTACTAATCTAAGTCAGTTTCCCAAAACAGTGTTTCATGTCATGACCAAAATGGCTATATATTTCAGGAATGCAGTTATAACTCAAAATTTATTGCCATTTAAAAATATGTCTATGTCTTTGAAAATATTTTTTAAGTGGCATTTGATTTATATAAATTAACCACATTTGTCTTTCAGTGAGAAGATAAAAATCATAAAAAAGGTAGAAAAGTAGTAGAATTGTGCACCGAAGGATTTGCTTCAGCTTCCCAATAAGCCAGCTATATTTTATTGTACAAAGATACAAGGTTGTTCCTGTCTGCCAATTTGTTACAGTCCCTTTGCTGCTTAGAATTTGGAAATTTTCACCTCTTTTTTTGTCTGTGAAAGTCGTGGTCATGCAGATATTTGTGGTACAACCACTGTGCATTTTGGGAACCAGACTTGAATACGTTGAGGTGCAGAAAAGTCTGGTAGGAGAGGAGAGGATGCTTCCTGGCTCGGCTAGAAGCTGTCCTGTGGGGGGTATCAGGAGACTCCTCAGAGGACTTTATCTCCCTTGCCCTACAGAATCTGGTTTTCTTTCCAGCATAGATGGGAAGCCTGATAAGGCTTCATTTTCTCATCCGTCTCCAGAAGCAACTTCAGAAGCCTGGAACTCTAGGGGGAAAAGGGTCCTCAGAGCGTTTCTCTAGAAGCCATTTACTCTTTTGAGACTGCAGCTTCCCCGTAGCTACTACCTCACTCTCATTTCACTCAAGTTTGCTTAGTCGAAAACAAAAAGTGGACGTTGTCTCAGTTACCTCATTCCCCATCAGAGCTACAGGTTTTATTTCCCAGTGATTAACTGACTCTGATTTTGCACTTTAAAGAACAATAAACAGAAAAACTTAAATTTATGTCTTTTCAAAATGCCTTCCCCTCTCTCTCCTGTTCTAATTTATTTATTAATTTCCTAACTTGGCTTTCGTGGAGCATATTTCTCCTGGGGAAGGCTTTTGCTCTTGTCGACCTGCTTTCCTCTTCAGGGAATTAAATGACTTCCCCCTCGGAAGACTGCCATGAGCACAGAGTGCTGTGGGGACAGTGTGCTCGGCCCCTCCCTCCCTTTCCTAGGCCAGAATGGCAGATCTGTCTGGGAGCCCAGCTCTTCATGGATGACTGTGGTTCCTGCAGCCAGTCCTGCTGGACCTCGTGAAGTTTAAAGACTTCCAGCCAGGCCAAGCCAATGCTCTTTTATTTCCCAACTATTTTCTCCTCTTAGTTGTGCTGGTTTCAAGGATCCATGATGAAATTCATGATAAATATGGATCTATGCAGGGTGATGAACCAGTTTATAATAGTGCATGAGGGAAAAACTCTATGCCAGGGAAATTTGCGAAATTTACCTTGCCCTTATTTTTCCCTAATACTTTGTAATATTCATTATAAAAGTTATTGCTTATAAACTTTTGGTATTACCTTCTTGGCCAAAAAAAATGAGGTATCTTACAGCCACAGAATATTTTAGTGATTTTCCTGATGCTAGCTAATTTTCCTCTCCATTTCTTCTAAAGTACAAAGAATATAAAGTATTCTGTGTGTATATGGACATATTAGCTAATTATTTAAACCATGTTTCCTAATAATACTCTTCTTGTTCATGTAAACAGTAGTATATAGATACATGGCATTTGTTAGAAGGACAAAGGCAAGTTTAAAACAAAGAAAGTGAAGAGAGGAATTGTATCTGTGGCACGCTTACGGGAAAATACGTGCCCGATGTAAGGTGGGACAGTTATTAATGGGCCCATTAACCTACAAACACTGTTGTATTTGCCCTATAGAAGGATGCTATGTGAATTAAACTATTATTACAATACATTAAACAGCAGCACATTATCATAAATGATATATGTATCTTACTATGTGTCCACATAGGCTGTGGGTTGTGCCGAGTGCTATATGTAGCAAAGTAAATTACAGTTTTTAAATTATCAGAAGAAATAGTATTCTAAAATTGATGTCCTTCAAAGGTATATTTAAATTCTCTGTAAAGCCATATTCAAAAAATGTTACATGTAAGACCTTAGGCACATCACTTAACCTCTTTTGCTTCACTTCTTCAAGTGTAAAATAATAGGATTGTATTACATTATTGCTATGTTTCAGCCACCTCTAAAATCTTCATCCTTTTAATAAATTATTATGGTGGAACATCAGTTAAAATGTCTTAGCAGAGTATCTTTTAAATGGCTGCTTTACAGCGCTATCCCATAGGGGATATATATTGAAATTATGCATACTTATATATTAAATCGTGTAGATTAATTTTTTCATAATTCCATTTTGAGGTGGTTTCAGAATTCAAATATTCTCTAAGAAATTATTA